GGCACAGAGGGTGAGAGAGAAGGCAGTTTGAAGAGTCAGGCAGAGGAGCTGGCCAGGGCTGGTTAGAGGGCCCCCGGCTGCATCCAGGGCTCCGCTGGGGGTGGATTCAGGAGTTTCTGTGGTGACTGTGCGGTGGTGGGAGTTCCTCAATCTGCGCACCAGCCACAGGCCCAGAGAGCACCGGCCGCAGGCCCAGAGCGCACCGGCCGCAGGCCCAGAGCCCAGGGGTTGAGAATGTTGGAAACACTGTAAACGGTGTTTCTCCCCAGAAGAAACTGTCTTTTGAAACAGTATAACCAGCGGTGTATGCCCTCGATGAGGAGCGCTGTGTACTCGGTGCAGTGAGAACATTCAGAAATGCGGGGAGCTGCATCCGGCCTTCGGGCGGGAGTCAGAGGGGGCTGCTGCTCCACTGGGTGTGAAGGTCTGTGACCTTGGTGTGATGGGGGCGCCAGGCAGCACTCATAGGGGTGGGGAGATCCTTCCGGACAAAGGCAAGGCACACAGTGTGAATGGAGAACAGTATGTGTAGGAAATGGCAGGACGTTCAGGGCCCGGGAAAGGGGCTGGGGGGCGGTGGTGGCGGTGGAGAAGCAAAGGTTTGGGTCAGGGCGTCCCTATTTGGAGTTTATTCTACAGCCCGATAGAGAATTCTTGGAGGGTTTTGAATGTCTGTGACGTTTATTTTAATGATAATGACCTCCATGGGAAGCTTCTGTTTCAGGTGCTGTGTTGCGCGTTTTGTGGTTATTATTTGATCTCATTGCCTCCTCCCCGCGATCCAGTGAAGTAGGTCTTGTTATTCCCATTTGCCAACAGAGGAAATGGGCTTGAGCAGGTCAGGTGACTGTGATCCAGGTCTTACAGCTAGAAAGTGGGCTAGAAATCAAAGCCCCGATCTGTCTAATTCTAAACCCACACGTTAAAATGCTACATTTATGCTTTAGAAGGAAGGACTGGGGTCCGGGAGAGCGTAGTTTACCCATCCATTCCCGCCTGCTTCTTGAGTGATGGGAGGTGGCTCAAGAGTGAGGTCCCCGGAGAGAGCGGGGCGGAGGGGTGGAGGCCTTCCAGGCAGCACTGCATCCCAGAGGCATTGACGGGGGTGCCTGGCCGCAGAGAGGATTCATCCTCACTGTCATCGTGGGCGGGTCAGGTCTTAGCAGAGTGTGAGCAGCCCTGGCGTCCTCCTTCCAGAGGAATGTGAACGGACTGGATTGTCTGGAGAGGAGCAGGAAAAAGGGCTTGAGGCAGCGGAAGGGCAGGCCTGGCTGGGACTCGCCTGCCTGGGGCCACCTGCCTGGGAGCGTGGGCAGGACTGAGGCAGCAGTGACGAGGCGCTGATGGAGCTGGCGCACGCGCTCTGGGTGGGTTGGGCTTCTCGGGCTGTACGTGTCTTAACTCATGTATTCCTCCCGAGCTGCTGGGAGACGAGCTGGGGTCATCCCCACAGAGCCAGGAACTGCAGCAGGAAAGTAACTTGCTACGGCACAGGGCTGGGATGCGCCCCGCCCCGGCTGCTGCCTGGGGAGCTTGGCTGTGGGGTCGTGTGCGGCTGCTGCCTCCAGCCTCCTGCTCTGTGAGCCCGGAGCCTGGGCCGTTGCCTAGAGAAGGAGCAAGACACAGCCCCCCCGGCTTGCTTTCCTCAAAGCCGCGCCCACGTGGGAGGCAGAGCCCCCCCGCCCCCCAGCTCACTGTTCCCCAAGGCGGAGGGGATTGGTCAGAAGAAGGGCCACTCTTGTGGGGGTGGAGCTTCAGAGCCGGAGATGGGAGGTGGTTTTGGAAAGAGTAAGTCTCTAGAGAATTTAAAAATGATATCTTATTTTTACTTTAAAAATATATATTTTTATTGATGTTAGGAAGAGGGAGGGAGAGGGAAAGAAACATCAGTGATGAGAGAGAACAATCCATCGGCTGCCTCCTGCACACCCCCTCCTGGGGATCGAGCCCACAACCTGGCATGTGTCCTGACCGAGAGTCGAACTGTGGCTCCTGGTTTATCAGACACATCAGTTAGTTGCCTCTCCCACTTGCTCCAATGGGGGCTGGGGAACCTGCAACTGAGGTATCTGAGGAATCGAACCCATCACCCTTTGGTCTGCAGGCTGACACTCTAACCACTGGGCAACTGGCCAGGGCTTTTATTTTTACACTAGGGGCCCAGTGCATGAATTTGTGCACCTTGAAAGGAACTGTGGGCCGCGGTGGGCACAGGGGCAGGTCTTGACTCACCCTCTGTGCCCTGCCTGGTCCCTGCTGCCATGGCCCGGGTCCCCTGTCTGCTGGCACCCCCATTGCCGCCACTCCCATGTGCTAACGGCCGCGGCCCCACTCACACCCGCTGACAGCACCGAGCGATTGGGGCTGGTACCAGCAGCAGGTGCGAGTGGGGCCAGCGCCATCAGTGGGTGCGAATGGCAGCTGCTGCCCCGATCACCCCTCAGGAGCAGGGGGAGGTGGAGGAGCCCTCAGAGACAATCTGGGCCAGCAGCCGCCGCTTCCACTTGCTGACGGCACCAAGCGATCGGGACTGGCGCTGGGTGCCAGCAGTGGGTGTTGAGTGGCGGCTCTGGCACCGACTGCGGGTGCGAGCAGGGCCGGCTGCAGGTGTAAGTGGGGCCATCACTGGCAGCGGGTACAAGAGGTGGCTGCCAGTCCCGATTGCCCCTCAGGGACTGCCCATTGGTGGTCAGTACATGTCATAGCGACCAGTTGACTTGCATATTAGGGTTTTATTATATAGGACTAGGGGCCCAGGGCATGAATTCGTGCACCTTGAAAGGAACTGTGGGCCGTGAGACTGTGGTGGGCACAGGGATGGGTCTTGGCCCATTCTCCATGCTCCCACCTGGCCCCTCCTGCTGGGGGCCCCATACCCTGTCTGCTGGCAGTCCCACTCCCACCACTGCCGCTCCCACATGCTGACAGTGCCGACCCTGCTCGCATCCACTGATAGAGTGGAGCGATTGGGGCCGGTGTCAGCAGCGGGTGTGAGTGGGGCCGGCAGCGGGTGTGAGTGGGGCCGGCAGCGGGTGTGAGTGGGGCTGGCGCTGGCAGCAGGTGTGAGCGTTGGGCAGGACTGTAGCACGTGGGAGCAAATAATTTTCAGTAACCAGAGGCTCGCCCCAGTGACAGTGACCGGCGCCCCGCCTTGGTCTGGCACCCCCACTCACCTGCTCCACCATCCCGTCGCAGCTGATGCCCGCCATGTGGTGCGCTCTGCTGCCTGCTGCTGACGCCCACCATATTCCATGCACACCCCCTGGTGGTCATCACACGTCATAGCGACCAGTTGTTCGTTGGTTCTGCTGTTCGGTCTATTTGCATATTAGGGTTTTATATACAGTAGGTCCTTGGGTTACGTCAGAGATCCGTCCTATGGTGCGATGTAATGCAATTTTTGCCATAAGCCAGAACCCACCTACATAAGCACCTACGTCACTCACATGGAGCACACACACAGCGGTAATGAAGTGAAACAGTAAAAAAATTTAAAAGAAAGATAATTCCTGACCTTTACTTGTGGTAAATAAATAATAAAAAAACATAAAGCACATATGTACATACATTGAAATGATGCAACTTTTTAAAAAAAAATAAACTAGTGTCCAGTGCACAAAAGTCTTGCAGGGGGTGGGGGGGGGTGTCCCTCAGCCTGGCCTGCACCCTCTCCAATCTGGGACCCCTCAGGGGATGTCCGACTGCCAGTTTAGGCCCGATTCCTGTGGCAGTAAGACATCCCTCTTGCAATCCGGGACCGCTGGCTCCTAACTGCTCACCTGCCTGCCTGCCTGATCACCCCAACCACTCTGCTTGTTGGCCTGCTCGCCCCCAACTGCCCTTTCTGCCGGCCTGAGTGGCCTCTACTGCCCCCCACTGCTGGTTTGCTCACCCCCAACTGCCCCCACCCCCGGCCGGCCTGCTCTCCTCCAATTGCCCTCCCCTTCTGGCCTGATCGCCCCTAACCGCCTCTGCCTCGGCCCCGACACCATGGCTTTGTCTGGAAGGTCTCCCGGTTTAATTAGCATATTACCCTTTTATTAGTATAGGTGGGAGATAGTGATGTAACCATGAAACGATGTATGTTGAGTCCGACGCAACCCGAGGACTGCCCGTAGATAGATAGATTTTAGAATGCATTAGGTTGTTTTGTTTTCCTCCCCCTGGTTTACTTTTAAATTTTTCTTTTCTTTAATATATTTTATTGATTTCAGAGAGGAAGAGAAAGGGAGAGAGATAGAAACATCAATGATGAGAGAGAATCGCTGATTGGCTGCCTCCTGTAGGCCCCCCACTGGGGATCCAGCCTGCAACCCAAGCTTGTGACCTTGACCAGAGTCGAACCCGGGACCCTTCAGCCTGCAGGCCGACACTGTATCCACTGAGCCAAACCGGCTAGGGCGCCGGGTTTACTTTTAGTGGATGTGTGAGTCATTAACCAGCCTTAAGACTGAAAAACCAAAACAAAGCTAGATAGAACCTTAGGGCAGTTTTATATGATTTTTTGAAAAACAAACAAACAAAACACACACACACACACACACACACACACACACACCAAAAAATGAAGCCCTGTTGTTTTTTCCTATTCGCACTGTGCGGTGGTTGAGGCAGTGCAGCTGTAGTTGACTGTCCCGGGGGAAGTCCCTCAGACCTCAATAGCGACAGGTTCCTGGAGGCGTGTGAGGGGCGTGGGTGGTGGTGCCGCTTGGCCTGCGGTGGGCTGACCCACTTGTTCGCACCAGTCCAGCCACGCACCTGTGTTTGGGAAAACCCACTTTTACAGTTTCACCCAGCATTCCTCCTACGACTTCATATTGTAAACGACAAAAACACTGCCCGTGATGGATGCGGTGTCCACGCCTGGCCCCGCTGGCACGGGGAGGTGTTCGCCGCGATGGTAGTTAGGGAGCCTGGAACGATAAGGAGCGCGTTTCTATTGTTCGGTCATCGGTATATTCCAAACGAACACGTTTCCAGTGTCGGCTTGCTTTGATCAGGTGTTCACACGGTCCTCACCTTGGAGATTAAAGTGGATGCGCACGTCCGGGGTTACGTTGGCGAGAAGATCAGGTTGAAATGCATTTTCAAGTCGACGTCGTCGGTCACGGACAAGCTCACCATAGACTGGACCTACCGGGCCCCCAGCAGCAGCCGCACAGAGTCAGTAAGTGTGGCAAACAGCTGTCCTCGCGTCTCCTGTGCTCCGCCGCCGGGGACCCCCCGCCCCGAGCCCGGGCGCCCCTCCGCCGTCCGCCTCAGACTGGAGGGTGTGCGTCACCTGCCCGACCGTCACTGGGTCACGGGAGGCTGTTCATTCTTCGCTGCAAGAGCTGCAAATAGGCGACAGGAGAAAGCTGGTCCGCAGTTCAGAGGCCATGTGGCTGGGTGTGCTCCCTCCTGGCGGTTTCTGTCGGCCTGGCTTCGCAGCTTCGTTTCCAGGTTCTGTGTGCTCCGTGGCCCTGCAGGACCGGTGGGGAGGAAGGTCCTCTGGGTCCCAGCGCAGGCATCCCTCGCTCACAGCTGCTCACTTCCCGCCGCCCAGGTGGCCTCAGTGGGCGTGTCTGCTCTGGGCCTGTGCTCTGTGGACCCGCTGGCAGCGCCCGTAGTGTAAACCTCAGCACTGATTTAGGCGGTTCCTTTGATGACTGACAGATGCTGTCGGTGACAGATGGTCTGTTAATAGAGGAAGCAGTATCCTTGTGTCACATATAGACTGCATTTATGGTTCAGATCCCATGTGGAGGTCTAGTTAAAAAGCCCTTTCTCTTGCCCTGGCTGGTTTGGCTCCATGGATAGAGGATCGGCCCTTGGACTGCAGGGTCCCAGGTTCGATTCCGGTCAAGGGCACGTACCTCGGTTAAAGACTCCTCCTGGCCTGGGCTCTAGTCAGGGCATGTGCAGGAGGCAACCAGTAGACGTGTCTCTCTCACAACGATGTTATTCTCTGTCTTTTCCTCTCTTTTCCACTCTCCCTATAAAAGATCAATGGAAAAATATCCTCGGGTGAGGATTAACAACAACAAACAAACAAAACCCCCTTGTTATGTTTCCAGCAGCACCCTCAGCTCATGTGAATGTCAGCTGTGTATAGGACTGTAGTATTGAAAGTCCCGTTAGTCTGCTTTCCTGTTTCCTTCATTGGGAAAACTTTCCGATTGATTTTAACGTGTAGCTTTGCATTTTGTGTTAGGAGTCCTTGTTGAATGCCAGGAAGCGTGGGGTTAGGCAGGTGGCTCTGGTGAAGGAAACCAGGCTGTATTCATGGTCCTTTTTTTCTTTAGACTTAAAATAGTCACTTTCTTTTGAGTGGTTGGAAACTGTGGCTGGCCTTGTTTCGCTCTGCCCCCGTGGCCAAAAGTAGGACAGAAGAAGCAAGGGGGATTTTCTTGGGTCAGAAACCTCAGATACAAACAGCAAGGGTTCTTGCGTGGCACTTCCTGTGAGCTGGTCAGGAAGCCCGTTCACCAGCTTGGAGTTCCTGGGCCTTTAAAGGCACATGAAGTGATGCTGCAGTACGTCCTGGCAGACTAACCAGGATTTACACCTCAACTGAACTTGGAATCCGAGGTCACATCCATCTCTAAGTGCACAGCAGGCCTTGTGTGGTCGGTAAGGAGTTTCAGACCCTTGCTTTTATGTTGATGCTGATCGTCAGCAGTAGGTATTCTTTTTCTTGTTTAATCCTCACCCAAGGATATTTTTCCAGAAAGTGTAAGAGAGAGGGAAGGACAGAGAGAAATACCGAAACACATTGATTGGTTGCCTCCTGCATGTGCTCTGACCAGGGCCTGGGCTGGGGAGAAGCCTGCAACTGAGATTCGTGACCTTGACTGGAATAGAACCCGGGACCCTTTGATCCGCAGGCCGACACTCTATCCACTGAGCCACACGGGCCAGGGCAGCAGTAGGCATTCTCTATGTCCCTTTGTGGAACACAGCACACATGTTATTTATTAATGCCTGTGTTTCCCACCAGACTGCAGACTCCATGAGAGCAGGGCCTGTGCTTCTGTGGCTCCCATTATCTCCTTTGGCATAGCACACAGTAGGTGTGCAGTACGTAGTTGTTGGATGAATGCATGAACAAGGGACCCATAAGTGATTCAGCATCTTCTTTGGGAAGTTGCTCTTCACAATTGGGCAGTGGTTCCGAAGTGGGGAGGTGCCAAGTAAGCAGAGAAAGGGGACGGCCAGACTCCCGCCCGAGACGATCGTGCAGTGTCGCAGGACCTGCCGGGCCACCAGCAAGTGTACGTAGGTGCTTTGCTGGGAAGCGTCCAGTCACCCTCCTGAGGCAGCGGTGTTGTAAGTCAGCATACGCCTTGTTTCCCTCTGCCCTTGGCCACAAGTAGGACTGAGTGCCGATCATGCATCAGCCGGACTTTTGTTAATTGCCAAGATAGGTAACTTGAGAGAGGCTTGGTTATAGCATGCCCTCCTGGTGATTTTGAAATATACAAAAATCCCCCTTTTTCACTTACTGGCCATGTGCCTTTGATAACTCACTTGGTTTTTTGTTCTGGGCCTTGTTTCCCTTCCTATAAATTTGGAAGAATTATACTTGCCCCAAATGTAGTTGTTATGAGGCTCAAATGGGCAAATGCATAGGAGTCATTTGTAAACTCTACAGTGTTAGACGAAGACTGGAGGCCTGGTGCAGGAATTTGTGCACGGGTGGGGCCCAGCCTGCCTGCCCAGCTCTGGCAGATGGGGCTGGGCCGGCAGGGGGGAGGGGTCGAGGGCGGTTGGCTGGCTCCACCCCCTGGTCCAACTCCTAGTCGGGACAATTTGCATATTAGCCTTTTATTATATAGGATTAGATGCTACTTTGGAAAAGGGTTTCTCAACTTTGGCATTGCTGCCATTCTGAGCTGGAGGACTTTTTGTGGTGGAGGCTCTTCTATGCATCATAGGATTTTATTTTATTTTTGTTTTTAAGTCTGTTTTTTTTTATTGATGTCAGAGAGGAAGGGAGAGGGAGAAAGAGATAGAAACATCCATCATGAGAGAGAATCATTGATCGGCTGCCTCCTGCACGCCCCACACTGGGGATCGAGCCTGCAATTCAGGCATGTGTCCTGACTGGGAATTGAACTGTGACCTTCTGGTTCATAGGTCGACGCTCAATCACTGAGCCATGCCGGCCAGATCCTGCCCTCCGTCCACTGGGTGGCGGCAGCACGCCCCCCGTTGTGACAAGCAAAGCTGTCTCCAGACATTGCCCGGTGTCCCCCTTTGAGAGCTCCTGCTTCGGGACTTGAGGGAGACATAGAAGAGGCTCCCGGGTGCGACGAGTCTTCCGTCAGGGCTGCCAATGTGTCCTTGGCCCTCTTTGAACCTACAGGACGGAGGCAAACCAAGTATAAAACAGTGCTCCGTGGAGAAGACCCCCGACACACCTGCATTTTACTTGAGACCTCTAAGCTTTCCGTTGTCATTGCGTTTTTCAAATTAACTGTTTCTCTCCTGTGCTGCTTTCTTAGATTTTCCACTACCAGTCCTTCCAGTACCCCAGCACCGCAGGCACGTTTCGCGACCGGATCTCCTGGGTCGGAGACGTGTACAAAGGGGACGCGTCCATAAGCATAAGCAACCCCACCACCAGGGACAACGGGACCTTCAGCTGCGCCGTGAAGAACCCCCCAGACGTGCACCATAACATTCCCACCACGGAGCTCACAGTCACAGAGAGGGGTGAGCCCACCGCCCTGAGGGCTCACAGTCACAGAGGGGGGAGCCCACCGCCCTGAGGGCTCACAGTCACAGAGAGGGGGAGCCCACCGCCCTGAGGGCTCACAGTCACAGAGAGGGGGAGCCCACCGCCCTGAGGGCTCACAGTCACAGAGAGGGGGAGCCCACCGCCCTGAGGGCTCACAGTCACAGAGAGGGGGAGCCCACCGCCCTGAGGGCTCACAGTCACAGAGAGGGGGAGCCCACCGCCCTGAGGGCTCACAGTCACAGAGAGGGGGAGCCCACCGCCCTGAGGGCTCACAGTCACAGAGAGGGGGAGCCCACCGCCCTGAGGGCTCACAGTCACAGAGAGGGGGAGCCCACCGCCCTGAGGGCTCACAGTCACAGAGAGGGGGAGCCCACCGCCCTGAGGGCTCACAGTCACAGAGAGGGGGAGCCCACCGCCCTGAGGGCTCACAGTCACAGAGAGGGGGAGCCCACCGCCCTGAGGGCTCACAGTCACAGAGAGGGGGAGCCCACCGCCCTGAGGGCTCACAGTCACAGAGAGGGGGAGCCCACCGCCCTGAGGGCTCACAGTCACAGAGAGGGGGAGCCCACCGCCCTGAGGGCTCACAGTCACAGAGAGGGGGAGCCCACCGCCCTGAGGGCTCACAGTCACAGAGAGGGGGAGCCCACCGCCCTGAGGGCTCACAGTCACAGAGAGGGGGAGCCCACCGCCCTGAGGGCTCACAGTCACAGAGAGGGGGAGCCCACCGCCCTGAGGGCTCACAGTCACAGAGAGGGGGAGCCCACCGCCCTGAGGGCTCACAGTCACAGAGAGGGGGAGCCCACCGCCCTGAGGGCTCACAGTCACAGAGAGGGGGAGCCCACCGCCCTGAGGGCTCACAGTCACAGAGAGGGGGAGCCCACCGCCCTGAGGGCTCACAGTCACAGAGAGGGGGAGCCCACCGCCCTGAGGGCTCACAGTCACAGAGAGGGGGAGCCCACCGCCCTGAGGGCTCACAGTCACAGAGAGGGGGAGCCCACCGCCCTGAGGGCTCACAGTCACAGAGAGGGGGAGCCCACCGCCCTGAGGGCTCACAGTCACAGAGAGGGGGAGCCCACCGCCCTGAGGGCTCACAGTCACAGAGAGGGGGAGCCCACCGCCCTGAGGGCTCACAGTCACAGAGAGGGGTGAGCCCACCGCCCTGAGGGCTCACAGTCACAGAGAGGGGTGAGCCCACCGCCCTGAGGGCTCACAGTCACAGAGAGGGGGAGCCCACCGCCCTGAGGGCTCACAGTCACAGAGAGGGGGAGCCCACCGCCCTGAGGGCTCACAGTCACAGAGAGGGGGAGCCCACCGCCCTGAGGGCTCACAGTCACAGAGAGGGGTGAGCCTCCTCCAGCTCCAAGGGCTGAGGCTGCGCTCTGGGGAGAGACCAGGACAGCGGAGCCACTTGTCTTAAGCCAGTTGAGTTGTCCATTAGGAGGCACTTTTTAATCTTTATTCTGCAAACTGACGTTTTTCTTTTTCCTTCTTTTGTGAATCCTCACCCGAGGATATGTCCCCATTGGCTTTTGGAGAGAGTGGAAGCGGGGAGGGAGAGACAGAGAAAGAGAGACATTGGTGTGAGGGAGACGCATCAGAGAGACGCATCGATTGGTTGCCTCCCCCAGGCGCCCTGACTGGGGCGGGAATCGAGCCTGCAGCCGAGGCATGAGCCCTTGACCAGAACCAAACCCGGGACCTTGCAGTCCGCGGGCCGATGCTGTATCCACTGAGCCACACCGCCTAGGGCCAAACTGAAGTCTTTCTTCAGATATTGTCATAGTTTCTCCATTTCTCTTTGTTGTTTTAGACTTCAGGTGACCAGGGGTCTTGTGGACAATGTGTGACAAATCCTCGAGTAAACGGAGGGTGGTTATCTCTGTGAAGTAGAAGGCATCTGGTTTGCCTAATGTGCTCTCGCCCTCAGTGATGAGACATGTGCTTGCCTGGGTCCTGAAGGGTCCCCGGCCAAACTGAAGTCTTTCTTCAGATATTGTCATAGTTTCTCCATTTCTCTTTGTTGTTTTAGACTTCAGGTGACCAGGGGTCTTGTGGACAATGTGTGACAAATCCTCGAGTAAACGGAGGGTGGTTATCTCTGTGAAGTAGAAGGCATCTGGTTTGCCTAATGTGCTCTCGCCCTCAGTGATGAGACATGTGCTTGCCTGGGTCCTGAAGGGTCCCCCCGCCCCGTGGTG